TTTCACTGAATTTCATCGGCAGCACAGAGACAATCCAGTGAAATTTTCGGACAGCTTTGTTGAACAATTTCTCTGTAAAAATATAAAATGGCGAAGAAAATGTTTAAACTTCGCGTGGCGCTATGATACTTTAGCCGGAAGGTGACTATGTATCGTAGAAAAGTTCCTAGAGGGGAAACTACTCTAGTTACTGTAATCAGACTCTCCAAGCTGATCGATAAATCACCGAGCGCGAAAAAGAAGTAAATCAGCGGTTGGCAAGGCAGTGGCAACTCCGACCTGTGATGATGATGGATCACCGTTCACCATTCACCGTACACCATACACCATACACCGAGTCAGCTCGTTTACCAAATTTCTCGCGGCTAATTCCACCATGATCGCTGTTGCGCTCGCCGCTGCACGGGTCCGGCCCCCTCGTTAGCCCACAGCAAGCTCCAACGAAGACTTGAGTATATGAGCTTACCGAGCCAACTCCCAAACCGGAGATTGAAGAAAGCTCTCGGTAAAAAGAGCAAAACAAGGAAAAAGTTTCAAGGGTTCCCGTATAGTCAGGGAATGCCGGGAAATGTCAGAGAATTTTAAAAAGTCAGGGGAAACTTGGAAGTAATTTCCGGGAAAAAGTGTTAATTCACCTTTATTAGCTTTCTGGGATGGATTTGACGTTTCGGAGAACGAATCTACCCAAAAACTATTTCTAATTATGTCTGTTTGACCATCTGGTATATCTTCAATTGTCGGATTATTTCCCCAAAATGTGTCGGGGAAAATAGGGAAATGACCGAGAATTTAATTTTCTAGATTTGGTGGCAACCTTAGTAGATTAGTCGAACATTTCACCTCTTTACATTGAAATGCTAATCGAAACGACTTTTGTTTAGATTTATGCAAATTTCAGTTTCTCAATTCGTCACCCTCCGGCCAAAGTATTGCAAACGCCACGCGACATTTCAAAATTTCCGCCGCCTTTTATTTTTTTTTTTTTACAGAGAAATTGTTCAACGAAGCTGTCCAAAAATTTCACTGAATTTTTTTTTGCGCTGCCGATAAAATTCAGTGAAATTATCAAAAATGTTCAACCGTCAATTTCTCTGTAAAAAATAGAATGACGGCGGATGTTTTTCAACGCTGCTTGGCGCTTGTGATGGTTTGGCCGGAAGGTAACGAATTAGTGATCACCGGTTCTTAATACCATCATGCTTGGTTATGCCACCTTAAGAAAGATCCGCGATCAAGAAAAGCCCGATAAAAAATGAGAGCGTTCGGATTCCAGGTGAAAGCCATGGACCTCAATTTGTGAAGATCGATTAGCCTTCATTTGAGAAGGTATGCAAAATGAGATCCTGCGAATAGTATTAGGGGTAGCTAAATTATGCGGATGTTTCCTGACAAACCATCTACTTAGATCGTATTTTTTGTTCCCACCACTCAATTGCAAGAAGCTGCGTTTGTCTGGGCGAAAATTTGAAATAGAGGATATTCTTGTCCCTGGTCTTTTAATAGCACGTCAATAAGTTTTTTTTTTAAAAAAATGACGTAAAAAATTGCCTAATATTCATGTTTTTTCTAAAATATTTTACCCTTTGAATAGTGGTAAACTCACGGCCGTCACGAGTCGGCCCTACTCTGAAAAAAAAAGATTAGTAAAATTTACTTTAAGTCTACTTGGTTTTTTACACAGTGAGACTATTTAGTGAAAATAACCAGAATTATAGTACGGTACCGGTACCTATATTGGTGTTTTTAGCTAACTTGCGTTAAATTTAGCATAAAAATGATACCCCACTACAGAGGGAAACAGCTCACAAGCACAATTTAGTGAGATATCAGCTTTATGCTGAATTCAACCCACGCTGGTATAAAAACTCCAACATGTCATCTTACGACCCGTGCGTCTACCACAATCAGTTGGTGGAGAATTATAGTAGTATTCACCAGAACTCTAGTAAGTCTCACCATAATATGGTAAATGCTATCACAGAGTCTGGTGTTTATTACCATACTCGTATCACTGTCAAAGTATGGTAAAATCCACCATATTTTTTCAATGTTCACAGTGGCTCCTATCGCGCTCAAAATTTCCCATTAAAACGTTCCGGATGAAAACTAGGATAAAAGAATTCTCAAATATGACTCTGACTTAACGCGACTTCTGATTTCCCACGCTGCCCCCCCCCCTTCCCACTCGCCACCTCATTCAGAGTCTCTAACCTCTCTCGCGACGTTGCCAAGTCGAACCTAGGATAGAGAGACTTTCCCTGAGAAAAGGGTAGTTTGCCACTGAGTAAGCAACTATGCCCGTGTTTAAACGCCTCAACTTCCTTACCTAATTATAAACTTCCGCAATGGAGTTTACTTAATTCCGCTAAGACGGAGAGGGGACCGTCTTCTCTAACTTCACCTGTTCTAGCGCCTATTTTCCTGACCTCTGGGTGGGCACAATTATTTTCCACTTTGAGCCGTAATTTTATGCCGAATGGGATCGTCCTCCGTAAACATCCACTCGGTTTAGTCGATGTCGTTCCGCTGTTTAGAATAACGCCGTGGTCTATTGCGTTGAGGGGAAGGTAGCTAGCTCTATTTAAATTTATGAGGCGTTCAGCAACATTTTCTCATAGGCAAATGAGTCCATCTCAGGTTGCTCAGTGACTGGGAAAAGAGAGGACGTGGAAACTCATGCAAAATTTCAACCAAGTATCATCACCTTCTGGCCAAAGTATCAAGAGCGTCTTGCGACGTTTCAAAATTTCCGCCGCCATTTTATTTTTTTACAGAGGAATTGGATTGCATTTTGCAAAAAGGAACCACTAGCATTGCAATGATGCTAAGATTGTGCAACTTCATCCTTTGCAATAAAATTGCCGAAATCGTGAAAAACTATGAAATTTAGATGGTAATTTTTGTCTTAAATTTACAGTTTTTAGCGAGTAAAGTAGAAACTATTAATGGATAATCGGGTTTTTCCTCCAAGATAAAAGAAGTTGCACAATCTTAGCAACATTGCAATGCTAGTGGTTCCTTTTTGCAAAATGCAATCCAATTGTTCGACGAACCTGTCCGAGATTTTCACTGCATTTTCTTTGCACTGCCGATATAATTCAGTGGAATTTTCGAACAGATCCAACCAAGAATTTCTCTGTAAAAAAATAAAATGGCGGCGGAAATTTTGAAACGTCGCATGGCGCTTGTGATACTTCGGTCGGAAGGTGACGGTATGATAAAGCGATAAAATACACGGAAAATTTGCGCAAAAATCATAAAACGCTGGGAATTTTATCCTTTTACAATGATGGCAGGAGTGGCATTCAGTTGGTAGGGTAACTTTTAAGCTAGCTGATCGGAGTGGATGATTTGAATGCTGAGTTCTTTCCTTTCCATTACAATATCCAACTCCTTACGAAAATACTATCCTAGAAATACAGTTTTGAAATTAGAACAATACAATGAACCTTGCTTTTCCTGTTCGCATTTTGTTAGGACTGTCTGCATGACACCTGTTTGCGGTTACAACGGTGTGCTGAAGCTCTGCACACTTTTGAATCAGGATTTTCAGCAATCTGAAACATACAAAGGACATAATGTCTTCAAATTCTTTAAAACCTGCCAGTAAGTCATGAGTGAAAAATTAAAGTTGGCTATAGTTGTATGCGAATTATTGCAATTCGACGAGTCAACACTCATGTCATTTGCACATTTCCGACGAGTGATAACTGCCTTCGGCATCGATAAGACGAGAAGGATGATTCTCCATTGCGGTGTTTCTCGTGAGGCTTTATTTAAAATAGATAGTTAAATTAAAACAACTAGCCTCGTTTAGCTATTGAAATCCTGCTTGCCTATTGGTGTTTCACTTTCAACAAGCGCCTGTAACTTGCAGGTGTACCTGGGCGTTAAGCATTTAATTCTGCCTCCACACTTTTTCCTTTTGCTCCATTCAAGCAATTTTACGACTCACTCTCACTCTCATTTTCGCGTATCGCAAAGGGGAGCATGGGCAGAGAAGGGAGGAAGGTCAGCAGAGCGAGTTGATCAAAACAAATAGGAGGTGGAGGGCTAATTAATGCGGTGATTAGTGCCCAAGTGCTCTTGTGCGCTTGTGGTCTCTCCAGCGCGCAAGTGTGAGTGTTTGGTCAAAGTCACGCCTCGCTTCCCGCCACCCTCCCGCCACCCTTCACCGCTCCTCATCTTTTTTAATGTGGGAACCGAATTCTCACTGGCCCATCGTCAACCGTCTCCAACATGGTCGTCAGATTTTGATGATAGTTAAAAATTCTCCTATCACGTTGGAAAATGCCGAATGAAATGTCGTTGCGTTTGAAATTTCTCTTTGCTGAGGAAATCTCATAAAACTTCCGTAAATTCCAAAAGTTCAAACCTCCTTGCGTTCCCCTCAACCCAAATTAGTTGGGCAAATTCGGGTGTTACCACAATTTTAAGGGATAATCCCCAAAACTTTTCTCCGGCCGAATAACTATACAATCTAGAGCCCACACTGAAAAAAATTTACGGGCTGTATAGACATACCGTCCGTTCCGGACTCATAAGCCGTAGCTTCGTGACTTATACCCGGAACTTTTGGCCTCTGAGCCCGGAACACGGACGGTATGTCTATACATAGCCCGTAAATACGACTTCCTCGGTCAGAGTTTTTTTTTCAGTGCACTTTTCTGCCGTGCTAAGGAAGCACGCCGTATGAAACTTCAGGCGTTGCCAAATTTCCTTTGGTAAAACTCAAATTTCCTGGTAAATGTATGCATATTTTTTCTCCAATTTTTTTAGAGAATTTTTCTCGTAATTTTACCTAAATTCCCTGAAATTTTCAAGGAAAAATATGCGTAACTTTCCTCAATAATAATCATTTTTCCGCAAATGTTCATACGGCGTCCATCCTTAGCACAGCAGTATTACCTATCATTTTTTCTCAATCCTCAATGATCGAATTTGTTCTTTTATCATTGGGTTTCAAGATCTAAACGGAGGCAATGTCTGTTTTGTTTCAGGTTCATCTGTACTTCAGCGCGTTACCGGAGGACAAGGTACCGTACGTTAATTCCGCGGGAGAGCGTTATCGGATCAAGCAACTGCTTCAGCAACTACCCCCACACGACAATGAGGTTCGCTACTGCCACAGCCTCTCCGACGAAGAGCGCAAGGAGCTCAGACTCTTCTCCGCCCAGAGGAAGCGGGAGGCCCTCGGTCGCGGCACCGTCAAGCAGATCAACACCCCCGTCCCGTGCCATAGGGTGAGTTCTCAATCTCGTAAACCTCATAACTTACCTCGGAAAAAAATTCTCCTATGACGTTGATAGGGTAGAGAAAAAACAAGCGGGAAAGCTCTACACGGAGAAAAATCTACACTGAAAAAAAACCTATTGGATCTCTAAAACATTGACCAAAAAAAATACTCTTGATTCAATCGAACTTTTTGCTTGAATTAAAAGAAAATCCGCCTAAATCAAGAGGCTTGGCTCTTCAATTCAAGGAAAAATCGGATTGAATCAAGAGTATATTTTCTTTTCAATGTTATTAAGAACCTAGACTCTAGATATAAGCGCTTTATTCCAGTGTATGGCTTTATAAACCTAAAATAAAATAAAAAAATAAATTATAGGAAAACGATTATCGTCCTCCGCTCTTTGATATCAAAAGCATTTAATGAAGGCATTAGTTTGATGGACCACCAACACATAAGCCCATCGCGGTGCCGCGGTGGAACCCCCACTCCCCTCCCCAATAATTTTTCGATATTAAACGTCGGCGTACCGAGGTCATTTTGCGAAAATTGCCGAAGATAGGATAGATTGCCGGACTTCATTTGTGTGTGAATGTGATACCAAGAATATCTCCCTGGGAATCTTGTCGAATTTGTGATGAAAAAAAATGTCCACTTTCACTTTCCATAGCTAAGTTAGGCGTTCTCCGGACGATAGAATGAAACAGCATTCTTACTTGAAAATTATATATTCACCGGAAAACATACAGGATTGAAAAATCTTTACAATCTTGTGATCCTAGGACTGCAAGCTTGTGGTGTGCACTGTTCGAGAATGGTGTATATCGAAGAAAATACGACTTTCAATGACTTGAGCGCGCACCGTGGTATACGTGCAATGCATGAAGTATCCTGCAGACTTGTAAGGAACTACACTACGCGTCGCGCGCACCGTGCTATACGCGCAATGCATGAAGTATCCTGCGGTCTTGTAAGGCGCTACGATTCGTTCCGCGCCGTACGCGCCAGCCTCCCGCCGGTCGCACTGTGTTTGATGCGATTATTCAAACTTGGCCACTAACTTGGCTCAAACAGGCATCTTGTTGTTGAGCGGGTGCGCCATTTGAACGCATTGCCACTAGTATAATAGCCTTCAAAAAGCGTTTCAAATAATTTTCTGTATTGAATTAGGCTAAAACAGCGGATTTTTACTTTTTGCATCCCATACTTTAAATTTAGGGTTTCACAGGGATAATGACGCCAAAATGCACTTGTCTACGTCACAGTGTGAACAAATCAGAATCGCCACTAATTTTAAGCATTTTTTAGCTCATTGAAAAAAAAGCTTTCAAAATTTATGAATTCGGTAACCCTTTTGAGGGTTTCTCACATAAAATCAAGTGGCAGATAAGCTCTAATTGAGAGATATCGCAGAAATTCTATTTAATTCTATACATTGTTTATACTGATAGAAACAACGAGGTAAAATTCATGGTTTCAAATGCATAAAATTAAGAATGCATTCATGTTTACCAAAATAAAACGACAAATAACAAGTAAAAGTGGAAGATGCCCGGAGAACCAACATTCCTTGAAGTAGAAGAATACTTATCTCTAAAGAGAAATTTATTAATAAAGGAAGGGGGATGAATACACAAGTCGTTTGGACAAGAAGGCAACTTGTTCTAGAATCCGCATTTATATCGATTTTCTAAAAGCAAAAATTCTTTAAAAAATACCTGCTAATAATAAAATCAGGAATTCTTTTTTGATTTTCAATTTTTTTTTAAAGTAATTCGTATTCACCACACCCAACGATCCCTCCGTAAATTATCCGTGTAATATCCAGGCCCTCAGGGAAGGCAGGCAACAGAGAGCGAGTCACGCAGCTGGTGCGAAAGAGACAATATTGTGTTTGTATTTGATGCGCGCCTGTTGCCTGTTTGAGTATGCAACCCGCGCGCCACCCCCCGCATCCCCAAGTCTCGCCGGATCATCAACATCTCGCCAGAATCTCTCTCCATTAATTCTCATTCCCCCTGCCCATCTTCCTTATCGCTCCGTCTTCCCACATGCAAAGTAGAGACTCGAAGTGCTACATAATGCTAAATTTTTTCTTTGGTGCATTTTATAGCAGACGTTACGTCATTTGTGGTTGTAACGTAACCTGTGTATTTTTTTGATCTTGAAAAGTTGAACCCCCCTCCGCCCATCGACATTCTCACTCAATTTCTCGAGGTAGAAAAATATTTAATGAAACATGAAAGACAAAGAAATTAATCAAGTAAGTGAACAATTGCGCAAAAATAATAAGCAGACATTTCCCACCTCAATAGTCGAGCATGAATTGAAAGTGTCAAACCAGGATCATGAGAATGATATGCGTACAATTCTCTGTTTGGCCAAGAGTCACGAAATACATAATGATTTCCCTTCAAATTCAAAATAAAGGTAGCAATATTGCTGATCCCACAAAAGGTGGACGTTTTTAAGCAAGAATCGTACCAAGCAGTTTAATAGAAACGCACAACTAATCTCCAAACATAGATTTTCTCTCTTTATTGGATTTTTGTGTAAGCCACAGCAATACTGATTTCTTTGCAAATCTTAAATAGGTATGAATTTTTACAAAAAAATCATGGAAATAATTTTGGCTGGTCGAAGTTTACTTAATTCGCAATCGCAATCATGATATTAAAGAACTGGCATATTCTTCCGCGCTCGGTCAAGTAAGATGAAGGGACGTTCCTTTTTTTTCTGGTTGTACTATTTCGGAACACTTGAAACTTTTTCATTTCACTCTCGGCAAGAATTTCAAATTGTCCCCTTTATTTACCTTTTTAATTTTTTTTTTTAATTCAAAACAGATATTTATAGATATAATTATTCGTCATAAATATTAGGGAAATATGCACAAAAGTACTTTATTCCTTTTCTTTTCTTGTATTTCTCTGTATCTTTCCAAAAAGCCATTTGAAGCATTTTGAAGAAATACTCGATACTTACAATCTCATCATGAGCTAGTATCTCTGATGCACCTATTTCCCTTTTTTGTAGACTTGAGAGGGGCGGGAAAACTCTTCAGCAGTGCATCAGTCATCGTTAGCGTCAGGAGTTGCCTTTTCGGCCTTAATTACTATTGATGGATGATCAAAGCGACGATAAGCTCATCCCTCAGTCAATGCAACCAGCTCGAATATAGGAGAGAGTTAAACTCGCAAAGGGAGGAAGAAATGAGCTTTGTTGCAAAGATGAGCGCATCAAAGCTAAATCCATCCAAATCCACATCACCACCCAATCCTCTTAAAATCTGCGAATGCCCTACTTCATGGAGAAAATGAATCCTCGCTCTTAAAATGCTCATGATGGATTCCAGGTCTTATACCTACTTTTCTAGTCTAAGTTACAATGTTACTTTCGTGATAACAAGTCCCTCGATCCTAGTTATAGTGCGGTATGGTTTGCAATTAATCAATCGGCAGTTTTATTCATTAATTAGACATAAATCAATGTAATTGTAGCTCTGTCTTAATGTATGTGATTGATGTATCTGATCAATTTTACTTTTCAACAATACTTAATTCAAGCTCCTGAGTACTGTGTTCATATACTTTACAGATTAAAACAGAAATGAAAGAAGTGCATTCTGTGTATTTGAATAAAAGAGCATAGTAAAATAAATTAAGTCTGAGGGTGTTCATGGAAATGGGAAACTGAATTATTTGCTCTGGTAGCCATGAACGTCTTCGTCACTTAGTGTCTTAATTTAAACGCCTTTAGAGAGCATTGTTTTTAATTTAAGGCATAAATACGTGCATATTTTTTTGAATTGGATGTAATAAGTGAGTTCTGCGTATACTTCGGAGAATATTTCATACAATTGGTTGAGAATGAACATATTTTGAAGTAAATAACCTTTTGAGAATTTAGTCAGTTGTTTTTTAGCACCGCAATGAGTAACAATGAGCACAACGGAAATTGCACGAAACAATTTATATATTCTATTCAGCTACTCTTAACCCAATGTCGGAAATCAAACGAGTCAAATTGAATCGGTTAGAACGAAAACACACCAACTCGAAAAAATGAAAATAATCAAGACACACGCAAAACTGCACCGTAGTTGAAGTAGTCAGCACAAGAAAAAAATTTTCGGTGCCAAAACACAAGTACTTAAGGACACTTTGAAGGTCCAAGTTGGAACAGATGCGTTAATTCAATGACCTTTCTGAAAACTGACTCTCTTTAATGAAAAATTGAGCATTTTTGAGTTACCGAGTTTGTGTGTTTTCGTCCTCACTGATTCAATTGTGGGACACACATCGACGGTCTAAGCCGGCAATCACATAACTCGATTGCGGTGTCTGAAAATCTCCGCCTCTGTTATTTTTTTTAAAAAAGAACAAATTGATATCATTCCTTGAAGTTTTTGCAAAATTTTCTTCGTATAGAGAAGACAAATCACGGCAATTTTAAAGAATTGCTGTTGAGTAGTTTGCTGTTTAAAAAATAAAGTATGACAGGAAGTCTGCGACGTCGCAAACCGAGTTATGTGATTGCCGACATACACCGTCGATATAAACTTTAGGTAAGTGAGGATATTTTGATGGAAATATGTATTCATGCATGCAAAGCAAGACATTCTTCATCTAACAATACCTTATTTTCACATTAAAATCACATGATTTCATTATACATTTTTCTATTTTGATAATTACTTTAGAAGGTACTCGCCCAGGGGATCGGCCTGCAGGACTATTAAGGTAAAATTCTTTAAGGATCATAATATCGTCACCTTCCAGGCAAAGTATCACAAGCGCCATGCGACGTTTAAAAATTTCCGCCGCCATTTTATTTCTTTACTGAGAAATTGTCGGTTGAATGTGTTTGGAAATTTCACTAAATTTTATCGGCAGCACAAAGAAAATTCAGTGAAATTTTCGGACTGCTCCGTTGAACAATTTCTCTGTAAAAAAATAAAATGGCGGCGGAAATTTTTAAACGTCGCATGGCGCTTGTGATACTTTGCCT